AACCCTCACAGTGAAAAAATTTCCGTCTAATATCCAACCTAAATCTCCCCTCTCTTAGTTTAAAACCATTCCCCCTCATCCTGTCGCTACCAACCCCTGTAAACGGTCGCTCCCCCTCCTGTTTATAGGCTCCCTTCAAGCACTGGAAGGCCGCAATGAGGTCTCCCCGCAGCCTTCTCTTCTCCAAGCTAAGCAAGCCCAGTTCCCTCAACCTTCCTTCACAGGAGAGGTGCTCCAGCTCTCTGATCATCTTTGTGGCCCTGCTCTGGACCCGTTCCAAGAGCTACACGTCTTTCTTGTGCTGGGGACCCCAGGCAGGGACACAGTACTCCATAAATTTAAACACAATGAACTGAAGTTGACTGTCCTTACCTTCCATTCCAACCGTTCATCTTACCTACATGCTCACCTCCTGCCCCGTCAACCCTACCTTGAATAATTCAACGGCCTTCCACCAAGTGTAATGTTATTCAGCATTTCTGGATGTGCACAACTGTGTACAGGAATGATGTGCCCTGTGTAATTCAGAAAAACTCTTTTCTACCTTCTCAAGAGGGATTACACCTACTGTAATACATGCACAGGCACATCGTCTAACAGAGGAGAGCGTGGGCTTTTCTTTTCCTGTTAGCATTTTTCAGTTTAGACCTACACAACTGCTAACCTACATTTCCCATTTGAGTTCAACTTCACAGTTTTCCTTTTCTGTTATGTTTTCCACACTTATTGCATTTATCTCAAAACCAGCCTGCGAAGCCTATGAGCACCTAGTATTTTTACAACTAGCTGTTTGGGGACTTCTGAGCACTGCTACAACATAGCAACTATATGACACTAAAGGCATGTGCCAAATGCCACATGAGGTCAGAGTAGCTAGCAGAGCACTACTCCTTTGTAAATGATGTAAGATTGCATTGTAACCTAAATGATTTACAAGGCAAATATAAATCTCGCCACCACTTGCGTTTTTGAAAAATCACCTTATGTTACACAGATCGTCAGGATGAGTTGGGCAATACACCAATAATCATTCAGCTGTTCCATAAGAGGGCTTGAGAGATGTGACACAATGACAGTGCGGAGACAACTTGGGCCTCATGCACCAAAGAGAAACTGCAAATTCACTTCAGGTGGGCCTGGACTCTAGTTTATGTTCAGAAGACACCCTCAAAACTTGTTAAGCTCTTAAACGCTATGCAAGAAGAAATTTGTTCAACTGGGAAACACAAAATTTTCCTTTTCCTTTTAAAATTATTCATAAAAATATTTACTTTCAGGGTCTTTTTGCCCTTACAATATTAAGGTAATATTCTAGCAGGACAGTCCTGGCTCTCACCTTCAGATGAATTAGGGCTTTATCATTCCCATAAACTGATTTCAAACCACACTGGGTTCCCCAAGGGTCCCTTCCCAGAGGATACAGTTACAGAACTAGTTCCAGAGACTTGAACTGCTTTCTTTATGGGGAGAAAAATAATATTGCTGTAATAGACTGACCTTTCCTGAGTTATGTTGAGATCTGAAGGATGTCAGTTCATTGTGAGAATTTGGGAGCTGGCATGGCTCCAAAGGCTCCACATATTTTCAAAGGGACCTTGCCTGTAATTTTAACCCATTAAACCAAAAGTGCATGGCTGGAAAAGCGTAGGACATGTTTTAAAATCTCACTGTGATTCAAACACAGTTAGTTATATTACTTGCACCAGTGATTTGGTGGTATCACTTCACAAAGGCAAAAGACAATACATTTAACTTCTATGACTAGCCTGCATTCTTGCATATCACATCAAAGGGAACAATGGAAACGTGGCTGAATGTGAGAAAGTACCAAACTGCAATGGTTTTTTGGGTGGGGGTGGAGAGAAACACACATACTACAAAAATCTAATAATCCTCCACCCAAGCATTGCTAGTGAATGACCTCACTGGTTTCCTACATATATTCCAACAGCCTTCCTGCCATCACTCTGTTGAGCCAAGCAATGATGTCAACAGTCCACCTGTGAGAGTGATGTAGCCCTCTGGGTCATGGTCACAGAGAACTTGGATAAAAGCTGTGCCAGTGTTAATTAAATACACCTCTTGTTTCACTGCTGATTTCCTCTGATAAGGCTCAGCTCATTTTTCCTGGAAAGACTTCCATGCTGTAGGGGAACCAGAGCCAACCATAACACAAAACAAATATTGCTTAGAGAATATAAAGACAACATGCTAAATATTTAGTTAAAAAAAAATTATTGCCTATCAGTGCTGGGGTAAATACAAATCTCATTAATTTACATGTGCTAATGATAAGTTAAACTATAAATACCAGTTACTGCAGATAGGTCATTATCTTTCAGCAGTACTTATCTCTTTCATTCCTAATGTTCTTCCTGATGAAATTGAAGAAGAATTCTAACAACCGCTTTACCACTGATAAATTCTGCCAGGTTAGAGAGGTGCTTGTCCAGTAAAAAATATGCTTTGATAATGGAGTTTCACATTAAATTAGCATCAGAATTATTTAACAAACTTGCTGTCCAATAGCATTTATTCTGCCATCAGAAAGGTCTTAGCTGTAAGAAAGCTCTCAGCAGGTTAGGCATTAAGGATCATCCTCCCTTAGTACAATTAGCCGGCAAGTAACGAAAGGAAAAAACACATATAGCGCTCCTTCTTTTTTTTCCTATATAAAGAAATCTAATTCACTGTCATGACTGGATGCTTTCACCATATGCTGTCACCAGGATTTCTGTAATCCATCTACTCATAGCATCTGACTTCCAGTCACTTTAAGCCTGCAGGACATGCCCTTTTATACTTGCTGTGTTCTTGCAGAACAAATGTCTTGTAGACATTTTCAGATAGCTTTATTAGTAAGAGAACTGTCAAAGGAAGACTCTCAGTTTTGGAAGCTGACATCAAAAATACTCATTCTTGTGTGACTTAAAAAGTACCACTAACCCTAAGACTTAATTTCTGACAGCAATGCACACAAAAAATCTGAAGGTGGCAAAATAGAAAAGTGATCACAAAACTAGTGGTAGAACTCTATTACGAGAGTTTGTTTGCCGATGATCACAACTCTCAATTCTGACAGGCAGCAAGCTGGACCTCTTGCCATAAATTTAATTCTAGAATTGTATGGCAAGGATGTTAGGAACACATTCATATTCATTCATTCATTTTGATATGTAGCAGTTGTGACAGTTCCAAGGAGTGTTCTGCCCTACATTCCTGAGCATTAGCAATATTTTCCAAACAACCAATGATCGATGTCTATTTAGATTTTTAGCTCTTGGGGATCTTTTGTTTATACAGTACCTTGCCCTACAAACTCTCTTTCAATATATAATACTGAGAATATGCTGCCTACCCAGTTCCTGATATGGGAGAAGTTCCACAGCTACACTACCTCTCACTAAAGTCAGGGTAACTAACTTGGATGTATTTTTTACAATCTCTCCCAGTAAGAAACCTGACATACAAAATGCCCTTCATAAGAACTGTATTTTTTGGTTCTACGCAGAAACTGAAAATGAGAGATAATCCTTGAATTTATTTGGTCTATACCAGTCTTACGGACAGTTCCTATGGATTTATGAGGCTGAACTGCAGCTAGTTTGTGTTGAAGCATGCAGTGTGACTCATTCAGAAAGCTCAACCCAAGAACATTTCACTCTGACATCCTACAGAATAGCTCCCTCATGGATTTGAATTAGTTGCTGCCCATTCTTCACATTCATCCCTCCTAACAATTTTATGACACACAACTTCCAGTGCAAACTTGAATCCAGGCCATGAGGGAGATACTATAACTTCTGACAAATTTTATTCAGTCACCAGTAATTGGAATTTGGTCTTGCACAACTTAAATACACAGCTGTGGATGCACATAATGTGGCCATGCACAAGGAAAGCATATTCCCAAGTCCAGTGAGTTAAAGTGACACAGCTTCCTGAACTCCAGGAACTCTCCTGGTCAGAAAGTACTTCCTTCCTTGTTTCAAACAGTTGATTGTTTCAGAGGGAATTCAAAACAATAGATTAGAAACTTTCAACCCTTCCTAAGTGTACTGCTACACAAGGAAATCAGGCCGTGCTCTGGGAAGATGAGATAACATTGGAAGAGTACTCTTTCCGGAAATCCAACGGCTTTTGCATCCCTTCTCTAGCACCATCCCATGAATCAGCTACATCTAAGTAACAATTTGTACTACGAGATGTCAGATGCAGTTCAACTACTGGTTGGAATAAGATGTCCAGGGTTGGCAAAAGGCATGAGCTAACTAGCTTCTCAGCTACTTTGGTAAGTCATGTCAGAGAAGAACATATCAGGAGCTTCCTAATCTGAGTCTGTACTTTTAAGGACAGATAGGAAGAAAGGATGACAACTGCCTCTTTTTATCACCTCATTGTTGAAATCTCTGAAAAGGAGAAAGAACGTGCTACTACTTCTGCAGTTAGAAATCTATCCCTTCGCACCATGACTTAAACTTATTTTTACAGAACCAGCAGAGATGTTCACAAGGACCGGGAACAGATCATGCAATCACATTAATCATACACTTTTTCCTAACACAATTCTTTTCATCTAAATACATTACAGAATGCGTTGTAATGATGGATGAAAAATTTAATATTTAGAATATCATCATGTAGCTACAGTTATTTACAGGCTGCAATTTGAATAAGGAAAGGCAACACACACAAATCCATTTTTCTGCAGCATTAGTGTGCCTAAGTATCCTAGACTAACGGAAAAACATCAGAAACAGAACCAGTGGCAAGAGTCATTCACTCAGACCTTGTAGTCAAAGCTCTTATACGATATTATATTTCCCTAATGTTCTTTTCCTACCAACGTAGAGCTACTAAAAGTATAAGGACAAAATTATCATTAAAAATCAAGAACTCACCTGGTTCTACATGTTATTTTTAGAGGCAAACAGGAAATGCACTTTCCTGTCAAGCTGGGTCAAAGGAAGGGGAGTGATTGAGTTGAACACTGCACTCACCGTTCCTACCAAAGGGTAGATGAATCCAGCTCCAATACTGGCTCGCACATCACTAATTGGCAAAATGAAACCAGTGGGAACACCCTTCCTCTCGGGCTGATGGGAGAGCGATAGGTGAGTTTTTGCCATACAAATGGGAAGATTTCCAAACCCCTAACAGAAAAGGTAAAGAAAATTAAAATGTTTTTTAAGATTACAGTAAAGACAGAACATATTTTCACTTTTATCAGTATCTTCTAGAAATCCTAAAATCCACACAGCAGTAGTTAACCTCAGCTTCTTAACAGCTAATATTTCAGAAATGGACAGAATACTGTATTTCACATGCTATTCTCTCTCAGCTCAGGCCTGTATCTCCAGCTTCTTGAGTGGGTTCTCAATCTAGAGTTAGGTGCAAAAGTTGCCTATACAACAGCTAAGAGTGTGCTATTATCAGAAAGACTGCTCAACGAGTACCACACTGAACAAGAAACCTATACTAACTCAAAAAACCTCCAGTATGGCCCTTCTCTCTGGGCTCTAATGATTTAGAGTGTTTTGGGCTATGAACCCAGGTCTCAAGTAGGTATCTAAGAGTACTAATGTCTTCTCAGGGGGGTTAACACAAATGGCTCATGATGCTTTCCATCGTTTTATACACGACAAAAAGTGCATGAGGTGATGGCAGCCATTTCACTAATGACAGTGCAGTAGCTACTCAAAAAGTGGAAGAAAATCAGGGAAAGGCCCTCAACAGTTCCCCCACTCTATTTGTCTCACAGGTTATTGATTAACCTTGAGTCAGGCACGTTCCACTCCTCTGTGCAACTCCTTGACAAACAGGGATGCAGTTCACAAGGCCAGGAGGAGAGGTGGCACTGCAGGGAATTACCTCTGCAGCCCAGCGCTGACAACAATCCTTTAATGACATTGGGAAAATATTTCCTACTATTACTAACGTTTAGCCTAAAAAACGGATTAGAGAATCACAGCAGGAAAAGATCAAGACATGGATTATTTTGCTTTTAGTACGTTACGTAAGCTTCTTTTCCATCTAGAGAGCAAAATTAATTCTCAGGAGATTTGCATTATAAAGACGGCTATACTTCTGCCTGTCTGACCAGGCTGCTGAAGCATGCTCAGGAATTTTTCCATGACACATCATCTATACTTTCTGTTTTCTGACAGAAAGGCTCCAGCCATGTTTACATACAGAAGCTGTTGTTCCATTACAGAAAATACATTCAACTCTCCTCATGGTTTCAAAACTTTTCAAGCTGTAACAAAGCCCACTCCTGCATGCTCTAGGAACTGTGATCTATTTCACCTTCTAGCATTTATAATCCCTTTAAAGTAATACGAACAAAAGATTTTGCAAGTATTGGGAGCTTTGTTATTAATGCATATATCTGTGCACAGGTCTTTTTGTGTTGCAAACTCATTTTTTGCAGGTACAAATGAACACTCATATGCTAAAATTTGGCACATTTCACTAGCTGCTACTTTTGCACATGTGCAGTTGTCACATTTAAGGCAGTAACCCAAAATCACGACTTTGTCTAGAAAGTACAGAGTTTAATCAACAATCTCAGAATTATTCCAAACACCATACATATCTTATAGGAGATAGCTTTCAAGGCTAAAACCATTCTGTTCTATCTAATCTAATCTAAACCAATCCATACTGACCTCCACAGTTTAGCACCACGGGTAAGCTCACGCCTTTTAGCAAAGCTTGACTAAACGCTCCAATCTGAGAACCTTTTACACCCTGAGGTTTCCTAAGACTCTCAGTCCAGCAGGAGCCTGACTGCATAATTCACTGGTGTTCTTACCTGCCGGGTGTAACGATCAACTTGTGACTGTGCAGCAGGAGACAACTCTATATCGTGAGCTCCATACACCTTCTGAGCAATGATCCTTATTTTTTCAACAATAGGAAGCTGCAGAGACAAAGAAACAAAACAAGGATGAACATTAGCCAAGAGAAACTAGGCTCTCGTTTGCTGAGTGAGAAATCTGAATCTCTCAGATTTATCCTTGTTAAACTGGCTCGCTAAAGCATGAAACCAAGTAAAGGGCACTGGTGATGGATATGATATTCACCTCCAGGTACATGAATTACAGCCATGATTTCAGCTAATCCATCATTCAGGAGCTGCACAATTTGCACATTACAAAGTTGACGACGTGAGCTTACACTCTTGCCTAAGGTGAGGGAAGAGAATTACTGCCATGTAGTTTTAAGAATCAGGAGCTAACACACACTGCAGATACAAGGAAGCAAGCTCCACTGGGTTACCAGGGATCACTAGACAAATAAATTTCATTTCCCAATAAAGATAACCTGTACAATGAGTGGACAAGGCAAGGCAATAAGCAGCCTGGGAAGGTTCCTCTGCGAAGCAAGGAACTGTAGCAGAAAATTCCTGACCCATCACTGCTCCTTTGATCGTAACTTTTTTTTCTCACCTCCTAATTCTTCCTAACATATGTATTTTTAATTGCAGCACTGATACTGTAAAGCACTTGGGACACTTAAAAAAAAAAAAAGCAGCATTTTAGGATGCACTTTGAAATCACAAGTCACTAAGCTCAACCCCAGTCTCCATAAGCGTCCACATCATGTTATTCAGCTGAACCTGAACCTGTTCTGTCTTGATGGCTTCTACTTGAAGGCAGATACAGACTCTCAGATTCAGGCTGTTAGAAATCCTTTCATAGATTTTCATCAGACAGTTTTTTGTGGTCAGATCAGGCATTTACTTTTTGTGCCATCATTTCTGTTTATTGAGAGTAAACAACTCTTTCCTCTTTCTCTCTCCTTTTGTTTTGAATGACCTTGGAGACAGCAATTGTGACCCCTACAGCCTATTTTAAACAAGCCAACTTCTTTCAATAGGAGCAGGATGATGGATGAAGGATTATACCACCAGTTCAGCTACTTCAGTGCAGACCACAGATGGCCAGAGAGGTGTGCAATACTCCAGGGAACATCCTACCAGTAACTGGTACGCTAGCAACACATGTGGAAGAAGTATTGGACAAAATCTAAAGAGATACCACTTGGGGAAGAAGACTTGGTAATCTCAAGCAATACAAAAAGCACCAGAACACAAAATAGAAGTATTTTATTTTATTCCAACAAAGGCAAGAAATTGGTTTGTGAATAACACACTCTATCTCCTGCATTTATAGGAAGTTCCACAGTTAATCACATTTTTGCAATGCCTGTCTAGAAGTAATGGCTTTTCTGCAAAGATACATCCGTTGAAGGGTTTGTGTCTGACTGACCTTTTTGTATTTATGATTGAATTTCAGAAAAATTAAAGTTTAACGTAGTCTGCCTTTACATTAAGAATTCCAGTAATAGAGACATCAAGAAAATAAGCTTGCCAGACTTTCAAGTAGCTTAAATACAAGGCAGTTAAAAGCTACTAATGCTCAAATAAAATCCCACCACCCTCCCAGATATGAAATTTCAAAGTAGGATTCAAAGATGTTCCACAACACACCTTCTGAACATGCTGACTATATGATTATTGCACCTTAATTGAGTGGAATGATGTCACATTCCTGACTTCAGGCTTTTTACGGGAATCCAAGTAGTGCAAAAAAAAACCAAACCTAATGAGGATTGGAGATAACACATTGCAAACATACTAGATATAATTCCTGGCAGCATTCAGCTGAATGGAATACTTAGTGCCATGAATAGCTGTCACAAGATGAAACTTCTTTCAGGTTGATTATTAAATATGTTCATACCCATGGCAGTTTTGAACACAGTGGAAGAAATGCAAAATGTATCTGTTAACTTTCTTTTTGGGGGCTGTTTGCTTGCACTCAAGGACTGACAGCAACAGCAAAAGCAAAGGCAAAAAGAATTCCACTCCCCACTGTCAGCAGACCAACATCAAACCTAACGGCTTTCTGCTTAAACCTCAGTAAATTCATTGAGATGGAGTTGTTCATTTAGACTCAACTTGCATTTGTGTCAAAATATTTCAAACTAATTTGACAGCAGCATAATTACTACGCCCTCAGTCCCCTTCCAGCGATCATAGCTGCAGTTTCCAAACGAAACCCAGCACGGCTCTGGCTAACATCAGAGCAGACTGCTTTAATGACAGTGGTGGCACTCTGCTCCTCCGGGGATGTGTGCAATATCTCGCATGACTGAGTCTGAGCTGGATAGTCAAACTGTATCCCTACGGATTTATGTTTGGGGTTTGTTTAAACAGAATTTCAGGTACTTTTCAGGCCATTACCCACACCTCAGATATTGCAAATTTAACCTCAGAAGAATCACCAGTGGGGAAGCAGTTGCGGGAGTGTGAATGGCAAACGAAAGTGGTTTTCTGAGACCGTCACATGTTTTTGCAAGGCATGCACATACAAAAGTATGAGGCAATGTGCATGGTGTCAGAGGAGAGTTTGAACCTATTTAACCTCACAACACAGACAGATGAGTCCTGGCCGAGCCCAAATCAGACAGACACCAACAGGGAAGCACAGATGCTCTATATGTATTAACTCAGCCCATGCACGTGCACACTCTCGGATGTGCTTCCTTCTTGAAGTTTCAGGAGCAGGGAAAGGAGTGCGCTACATCATGCTAAGGATCCACCTGTTCCTAGTATTTAGTGGCATTTTTAAGGGATTAACTGTTTAGAATCACAGTGTAACAGCTTTCAAGTTAAAAAGTTTCCTGTGTTTCAGTTATCAAGTAATACTGCTGGGAAACTTAGTTTGAATTGAATTTAAATAAGTATTTTTCCAAAGAAATGTCACCTGGTATTTTACATGAGAAATATAAGTTCATTTTGGTTACAAATAACAATTTTATTTATCAGAAAAGCAGCTCTAGCAATTCAAGAGACTTTTTACACATTTGCCATAGCTGAAGCCTGGATGTCCGCAAAACATTTGTGGGAACAATCCTGACTTTTTATTATCTGGTCTTTAAGGGCAAATTTAGCTTTAGGTTTTCAAAGAGACTGTTGATTACTTCACTAAGGAAATACTCTCACTGATGGACACAGGGATCCATCATACACAGTAACACATAGAAAAGTACCTAGCTGAATACAAAGGGGCTGAAAAATAGAATCATAGAATGGTTTGGGTTGGGAGGGACCTTAAAGACCATCTAGTTCCAACCCCCCTGCCATGGACAGGGACACCTCCCACTAGCCCAGGTTGCTCAAAGCCTCATCCAGCCTGGCCTTGAACACCTCCAGGGATGGGGCATCCACAGCTTCTCTGGGCAACCTGGTCCAGTGCCTCACCACCCTCACCATAAAAAACTTCTAAATGTACCCTCTTTCACATTAAAACCATTACCCATCACCCTATCACAAAGAGTCCCTCCCCATCTCTCCTGTAGCCCCCTTTCAGTACTGGAAGGCTGCTATAAGGTGTCCCTGGAGCCTTCTCTTCTCCAGGCTGAACAACCCGAACTCTCTCATCCTGTCCTCATATGGGAGATGCTCCAGCCCTCTGACCATCTTCATGGCCTCCTCTGAACCTGTTCGAACAGGTCCATGTTTTTCCTGTGCTTAGGACTCCAGAGCTGGATGCAGTACTCCAGGTGGGGTATATGGATACGCAACAACGAATTAGTACTAATGCTGAAGGATTATAGCAGTTTAAGAGAATTCATTCCAAATTCAGTTTTAGCTTCTTGAGAAAATGATACCATGAAATACTCAATGTAAATTTATACTGAACATAAGAAGGTGCTACAGGGCCACACAGTATGAGTATCTGCTGACAGATAAGTAGTTTTGGTAATTCTCTGAGAAACAACCAATCTCACCATCCCTCCCAGAAACAATGTGCATTTCTGAAATCTCACATTCAGAGCTACCAAAGCCATATGCTTCTTCTAAAGCAAGCACAAACACACGTGCTTGTTGAGGCTGACAAGCACCCACACCATAAACAGGATTATCTCCTTGGCTAAAACATAACAAGTGCTACAGCAAAAGTGCACAAACTGCTTTCACAAAAACAGTATCTGTGTAGCTGTACATTTCATTACTCAATAGAGAACAATTAAACCAAGAATCAGCATTGATAAAGAGAAGAGCTTGTCATTCCCAAGATTAAGCTGATTATCCAAGATACAATCACACCAGTGCTGTCATCCAGCCATACTCCTACTTCCAGGCCATCCCCCTTGCAAGACATGATGTTAGTGCAAATCCATGCTGTTTATTGCACAATCTTCTTTCTTCCAATACTATCAACAGCAAGGTTTTTACTAAAACATAGTTTAATATGGTTTCTTTTATGCTAGCCTTTCCTTACATTTCTTTCATTCTTCATCTCTTCCTTCAGCTGTAACTGCAGACTGTGGGTTATCGTTTGTCCATCTGGGGCTTGATGAGGATTTCCGTGGACAGTGGACCAGCTTCAACAGACCCTCCTTCCTCCTGCCCTTCCTGTGCTGCTCACCCTCACCCATGTGCCAGTGCAACTGTGAGGGCAGCACCGCTGTTTGTGCAGCTGCACATACCAGAGAAAGTGATCCAGGCTAAAACATAACTGGGGGGTGGAATAAAAGCTATTTTAACCCAGATCAGTTCACACATTCAGTTTACCAAAGCCAGTATAAAGCGGAGGGACAGAGACGGCTTAAATGCCATCGCTACAGAAAGAATTCCTCAAACTGTTCAAAACCAATCCCAGAAACAGTGAGTTGGGGCAGGAACATGCAAGCAGCTTGGGTTGGGATTCCTAAAATCAGTCTTGTTGCCAAAAGTCACTATCATGTGAAATGAAACATGCTGATTACCAGGCACCTGGCTCAGGACTGCGCTTGAGATTCCCATCTTTTGCATCCTATTCTGGACACCTGACTTTAAGCTCTTTGGCTACTAGAGAAAGGAGTTCATCTTTTTAACACCCCACAGGCAATCTATGAGACTGCTGAAAC